CAGGAATTCTTACCACCTCTGTATACAGCAGAAATAAACAACATAGCAAGACTGCATTCCTACATGATGGTGGAACATACATAGTATGGTAACCTGGGACATCTGAGAACCTTTACAGTCTGTTCTCTCTCTGAAAGCAATCACCAAGAAACCAGACAATCCTAACAAAGATACTATGAAAAAAATCTGTTGGCAAATAGAATAATAGAATATTTCACTGTACATTGAATAAACTCCTTATGCTTGGATGTATAATTTACCTCTTCCTCCACAAGGTAGCATCTGGTCACTGTTATTCATATTTTTCAGTTTTTCATAAATGATAAAACCAGCCTGAAAAATAAAGGGAAAAAATATCACTCAGTACTCAGCAGAGAAACACTATCTTAGACAAAGCAGAAACAATAATCAAGAATTAATAGAGCAAAATGTGGCTTGAATACATTGTGAAAATCCAATCCCGATTTGTTGGCACATGCCGTACAACCACTGATGGTCTGCCTTACTGCACTGTTCATCACAACCAGGTAATGCTTTACAGAATGCCTCACAAAAGGCCTGACTTGGGATCCACACCACAGCAGAAACTCTACCTAGACTCCAGCACAGTTATTTTACCAAGTTAGCTGCAAACAGAGAGCTTCAAGTACTCAGCTCCTGGTTTCACCATCTGCTTCACTTTATTGAGATTTAATGTAGTGCTCCAAGAGAATAGCTATGAACCTACTAAGATAGATTCTGTGTGCTTAATATTTCCCTTGATATGAATAGTAAGTTCTAACAGGAAAATGCAGCCTAAAGCCAGTAAAGAGCTAATTAGGCTACACATGTTAACGAGAGCATCTTAAAGAGGGAAGAAACAAGCCACTGCCTTGTGTTTTCCCAAGAGGCTCCAAGAAGCAGGCCAGCTGAACAGACCATAGCAAGAAAGAGGCACTGCCTCAAAAAGTGCTGGTTACAGCAGCTGCACCAGGCAATAGAGTTCCTTTATTTACTGGGTTGGGTCTTAACAGGTGCTAAACCCTCCACAGCTCGAAAGTCAAAACTAGAAAATATGCAGTGTTTCCTGAGTCAGAACAAAAACCAGAGACCACTGGCCCACTTTCCTTCTACTATCTAACCTCAACACAGAAATAAAAGCCTGCAGGAAAAGGATGCTCTTTCTGAAACTGAAGCAGCAGATGCTTCTACAGAGCTACATAAATCCTTATCCAACTACATTACTCTCTCTGGTAATCCATACTGTGGTTCTGCTGCATTAGCCACCAGAGAAGACAGTATTTCTTTCAAGTTGCTTATTAATTTTATCTCACCTATTCCATTTAGAAGGATTTTGATTCATAAGCTGCTCAAGAAAGATGAGCAAAGCCCCCAGCAGAAAACACAGCCAAAATTGCTAACCAGCTACAGTTCATACTTGCAGACAAGGGAACCAAAAAAGTAATTACCCACTCTCCACTTCCATAAGTAATTATTGTACTTAAAATACACACCAGACATGTTACATCTACATGGAATAATCACACTGTGAGCATTTAGGCTTTCTCCATACAGATACATACAAAATTCACCCAATGGCTCCATCAAAACTCACTTCCCTAAAGCGATAACTTGAAACTCCTCAGGCTGATTGTTGGTGCCTGGGTAACTTGGCACATTCAAGGCACAGCAGAACTTCCAGGAGCATTGCCTCCTGAAAAAACTTAAATACAAAGGCAAATCTTGGAACACCATGAAACAGAGGCAAGGACCTCACAGGAAGTCCAAGGGTGCTGTGGAATGAGGTTTCTTTCTTCCATCTACATTCAATTTTCTATGTGAAGTGTTCATCACAATATCCTCTTTAAGTGACACAGGTAATAAGACAGGTTAGTCTAGGTATGAGCAGCACCATCTTCAACAGAGAAGATATTACGACACTCAGGATGAACACTGAGGTTTAAAAACTTGAGACAAGAAACTGGACAGCAACATATCTGGTGGCATTTCCACCTTTAAGCATCCCATATCCACAGCAGACCTCATGGTCTTCTTACGTTCACTATGTTCTGCAGCAGAAAGCTATTAAAAACTGCAGCTAACAGCACATTAGAGAAGACTTCACATGGGTAGAACAGTGATCTCCCCTTGTACGTACATAGGCATCTGTGGCTGCATACAATTTTTGCTCCTCATTGAGTGGAAACTCCTTCCAGTTGCTACAGCGGACAGACTTATTCTTCAAAAGCTGCTTGCCAAAAAGGTGTTTTACCAGACCATTTAGACTCCAGATCTCCTTACACCTCAGCTGGGGAAAGAAAACAAACAAACAAAAGGACTTGTTTAAGAGAGGAAGCAATTGACCTGACAGAATGTATTCCTCAAATCAGTAAAGTATACTTAATCCCTCATTAGAAGCAAAGAGCTCTAGGTTAGTCAGCACAAACTAGTTTCTGAGAGCAGTAACTGTTTCTCCAAGCTCAAATCTTTTCTCCTCACATTAAAAGGTAATTTAGCCATTTGAAAGCTGTACTTCCCTGCCCTGAAACTGTATTGCTAAACGGCACAGCTACATTATCAAGCTATAATCAAGGATAGATTGCATTAGGGCGAGGTGAGTCCACACAATGTGAGGTGGTACTGTCATGCTACCAAAAATATCTGTACAATGTCATCTCCAGTTGATAAAGCCATAGACTTAAACAGTAACCCCTCTCTCTTCCAGGATTTTTCTATTATTTGCCTTTCAAATCAGAGAAATTCCATATCCAACACTAGGAAATTATTTAATATAAACACTGGAATATTCAAGTCTTCCTGTAAGTGTTTTGTCATCTTCTGCAAGTCTGAAACCAAGCACAAGCCAGAGCGTGCCATTTAGACCATGCTAACCACTACTCAGCATGCTGGGAAGCAGCAGTGCATCAGAAGTCTCTAGAAGTCACCCCACCACACTACTGTTTTCAATTGCTTTTGTAATCATACTTGTCATTGACAGTTGCTACATGCTGTTGTCTTAACAGCCAGTTTGGGAACCTTCCCTTCAGACCCTGAGGATTCAGAACTCACAGGCACAGCTTTCCACTATTCCAGCTTGCAAGTAGTTGCAAAACATGCAGAACTGCAGCAATATCAGCTCATCCCTTTAAACCTAGTATAAAAAAAAAAAATCCCAAGAACTGTTCATTTTAGGTTCCCCAAGCCCTTCCCCCTGCATTGTGCCATTATGTATAAACCTATTTTGTTCTTTCAGGCTTCTCTTTCAAGTCTATTTTTGGTTTGTTTTCTCCTTAGCAGAAGATCACATTGCTTATCTTCATAACAAATTATCCTGGAGTTGGACACTGGGATTAAAGAGGGTGGGGGAAGTGAACTGAGGAAACACCTAGTCTGAAAAGAAACAGCTCCTATTGCTCGAGCAGAACAGTTTAATTTGTACAACTCCCAAGCCACTACAAATGGAAGCTCCAGGTTTCAATTTCAGTTTCAACTCCAGTGTTCATAAGGAGAGCACTGCCCCAAATGCTTATAATATATCACATGGCTATGATTTCATTACATAAGGTACATAAAGCACATAACAGAGAACGGTATAAGTAGTGTCATTTCTGGGCAGAAATCTCTCCTCCACCAGGAAGCTACAACTGTTGCTACCATCCTACCAAACAAAATATGCACAGAAGGAAAGGAAAGTGCAGAGAAAGGCCAAGTACAGATGAGGAAAAGCCTTGCATATACAAAAAGAAAAGCTTTAAGGAACATGTTAGAAATAAGTATGGCAGTGTGATTTGGAAGGTAATGAACCTTTTGCTCACTTCCTTATTAAGATGGCATTGTAACACCCTACATCAAATGCTACCTAACCAAAATCCAACTAATATGAAAAATTCAGGGTGCATCAAATGCAACACGACTTCTAAACAACAGGTCATCAGGCTCTGGAAACTGCACCCACATGAGAGCAGAGGCAACACCAACTTCAGAGTTGTGACAAGCCTATGAAAGATATTTCATAGAATCACAGCAGGGTTTGGTTTGGAAAGGACCTTAAAGATCATCCAACGCTAACGCCCTGCCACAGTCAGGGACACCTTCCACTAGTCCAGGTTGCTCAAAGCCCCGTCCAGCATATTTCTAGGGCTCTAGCTTATGTAGTCAACAACTCTACATGAAGGACTTGAAGGAAGACGTTGGTGCTTGAAGGACTTGAAGGACCACCAAGCAAGCCATGGCACAAGGGCTGCCTCCCTCTGAACAGACACCAGTCCTTCACTGCCTCTGCAGCATTTCTTGCATCTTAAAGGTTCAGCCATTGCTGGGACAAGCACACCATTGCCAGTAGAGCCCTGACTAGACGCATTCTAGTACTAAGGAGTAAAGAAAATACATCTGCAGTTGAATTACCTTGTAAACATGAGAGGTGAACAGACAAGAGACAAATGTTCAGTAACAACTAACTCACTGAAAGACAGTACTCGGTTCTGTGGAATTCCTTGAGAGTTCTTTACAAACTTATTTTATGTAAGTTACAACACATCTCTGCTTTATTCTACAGAACATGTTTGCGATTAGCATTGAATTCCATTATGAAGCCAAGGAAGCCTCCTTTTGTGTAGCACAATAAAAAGATCCCTCCCACAACAAGAGAGTTTTAAGTTTTACTTTCTCATTTGCAACGTCAGCCAGCTCCACAAAGCTCTTCAGTTTGATTTCAAAGTCACTCATCAGCTTCCATTGATCTCCCTCAACTCCTACGCCAACCTTTTTAATTGTTTCATCTTCGAGCAGTCTTTTGAGTCCCTTGGGAAAACCTAAAAATAGATGAAGCCCAAACATGAGAAACTAAATATGGGAAGATGCCAAAAAGTCTAAAGGAAATGACAAAATCCTAGCACAAGAGCCATCTGCAAAAAACTCTGCTTTTAGAGGAAAAGCCCCAAAGTTGCACTGTTTATGTGGCTGTTTGCACTCCAGAATGACTGCAAAACCAAATGGTTGCAACGTATCATCTGCAGACAAGCAGAAATGAGACATTTGAAACATGCAAATTCATTCTGCATCTGAAAATAAATCAATAAGAAATTTTACAACCTTGTTTTGTCTTAGTGATCACTAAATCACATTACAAGAAGGCAACCTCTAACTGAGAAAGACTTCAATTCACAGGTTTGGATGCTCATGAAACCAAACATAACATAACCTTAGTTTTACACAGAATTCCTTCCAGTTTTTTGCTATTTCTCATTCCTGGGAAACAGTTTAAACCATAAGCATGGGAAATGACCAGGAAAACAGATTCTGTGAGACAGCCAGTGCTAACACCGGGATGGTTCAACAATAGCATTTGTAAAACAGAACTGGCTATGCAGATCCTCTGCCAAGCCCAGACAAATTTTCTCTTTCTTGTAAGAAAGAAAAATATTCATGGATGTACACAGATGCTAAGTATTACATTTTGATTTATCCCTAACTCATGGCACCACAATCCTGAATGAAAGGATGTTTTCAAGTTTACAGGACTGAATAAAAGCATGTACCTCTCATATCTGGCTTTCTACAGGAGGTAACAACCACAGACCCTTCATATATGAACCAAAACAGCCTTTTTCTCCCCACTGTGTTTGATTCCATTTAAAATTACGAATATCTTAAATACATACCTTGAAGAACCCATAGCTGAATACCCTGAATGAGTCTCAAGTGTAATTCTAGTACCCTCAAACACATAGTACTTAATATCTGGCTTGGTTCTCATTTCAAATTTCACCTTTTCAGTACTGTAATATGTATTTATATACTTCAACAATCGCTTTGCATGGCTGATTTTATTTTTCACATGACTATCTCCACACTTTCATGGCCACCACTGACACACAATAGAGACATCTTTGCAACTATAGCCACAATCAGCTGTGCTGTGGACTGTGAAGTTGCAGGCCCAATTCAAAAATTAGAAAATTACTCCTTTGTGGAGGAGACAGACACTTGAGGTGACTAAAAGCTTGCAACATACGCAGCTGACTTAGTGAATAAAGGATTTTCACCTAAGAATATAATCATGAAAACCTTCAAGGATGGCAACTTCCCAGCAGAGGGCTTGTTCCCCATTTCTACCACCTAATTTCTAAAAAAGTGACTGTATGAACTAAACAAGTCTAAGTTCCAGAACCATACAGAGATTAAACTCTGACAAACAGGCCGTATTTTCTTACAAGTCTGTAAGAAAAAGAATAAGACATGGAAAATTATCAAGAATCTTCCTGATAAATATATGCAGTTTTTTTCCTTTATACACAGTTCAAAAACTCTCCACTGTCTTCTTCCTGCAGAAAGAAGCATTTCTTCTCCATTCCCCCCAAAAATGGTAGGTATTATCCAAGTGGCTAATCCTGCCAACATCCATGTTTCTGTAGATCAAATACATTCTGCATAATAAGCAGAAATTGGCTACGGTTCCTGCAAAAAGGTTGACATCTCCATTCAAAATACATCTCCCATTGGCAAGAGTAGAAATTTCAGGAAATTATTCAGGAGGAGACACCATCTTCTGCTATAACACACAGTAGCCCGCATGCAGCCGTACTCAGCATTGACACACAAACATCTTCAACTTACAGAATCAAAAGCATTTCAGCTCTTGATGATTCTTCCTCTCTTAGCTTCCTTTCCTCAAATCTTTCTCTTTTGTGCCTTTTGTACCTTTCTGCCTCCTGGATTGAATAGCCTCCAGCAATTAAATTTTCCACCCCATTTGCTATAAATGACAACGGATTGAACACCAACATTAAAACTATCGCCATTATAGCTCAGCATGCACACCCCAGGGAAATCAGAGACATCTTGCAGGCATAGTTTCAATCTAACATTCAAACCAAAGGTTATAAAATTGCAGCCTCCTTCCCTCATTCCCATATTCCCTATTTGGAAGCTTTTATTCACATCCATAATGAATTCAGACTCCAGTGAGCACAAACCCCTTCTCTTCCCACAGCTGCATCCCACCAGGTATCTGGTGTTCTTTCTGACAGTTAATGTCACAAAATGCAGGTATTAGGAACAAACCAGCACAATGGCCATCGTGTTTGAGGGGTTTTATTATTAAAGTGAAATTAAGAAACACAGCCTGCTATATTTAGGTTCCATGTTTATTTTGACACTAAACAGAAAGCTCGTTCTATAAGCAGGGAATTAAATTTTTAAAGCTAAATTCAAATCTTCTTTCCCAAAGAGAAAACTAATCTTCAAGTAACATCATTTTGCCCTGTTCAGACCCTAAGACACTGCATGCCAGCACACAGGGCAAGACTTGGGCTAAGATCCACTTGATGTACATCGGCAATACTCAAAGAATAAATCCATTTATTACAGGCAGGAAAGAGAAGGATGGATTTTTACTATCCAGCATAGCATGAAATATTGGCTATTGCTCAAAGGTTAAGTTCAAACTTAATCAGAGCAAACAGAAGGCAACTCATGACCTAACAAATAAGAAAGAAAGAAAATACAGTACCTGACATGGAAGAGATGTGGAACAAGTAACACTTCTCCTCAGATATACATATCTGGATTACAGCTATTTTGGCCATTTTTCCTTTAGTATATGATGGTGGCCATTCAATATCAAATCCAACAGCAGCCCCATCTGATAAACTTTGCCTAAAAAGAAACAGATACTCTTCACATATAACTGTTTTTCTATCAGTATTTAAACTATTAGGCTTAAATCATCTTACACAAAAAGCAACTAAGAGCCGGCATATCCCCTTTCATATGTACAGGACACAGAAACCATTATTAAAATCAAGACCATAAGATCTGTTTTTTTTTGCTGGTCCCAAAAGCTTCAAGAAACCTCAAACCTTAGCAGATCTTATCACATGCATGCAGTAGCATAGCAAGCTGTGGCAGGTTGACCAGGGCTGGACAACAGGCGCCTCCCTAAGCCACTTTAGTACTTCCCTCCTGAGCTGGACAGGGGAGAGGAAATATAATGAAAGGCTCATGGGTTGAGATAAGGACAGGGAGGGATCACTCGCCAATTACCATCATGGACAAAACAGACTTGACTTGGGGAAATTAGTTTACTTAATCACCAAGCAAATCAGAGTAGGATAATGAGAAATAAAAGCAAACCTTGGCACATCTTTCTCCCACCCTTTCTTCTGCCTGCGCTCAACTTCACTCTCAAATTCTCTACCTCCTCCCCACCAGTGGCACAGGGGGAGGGGAAATGAGGGTTGCAGTCAGTTCATCACACAGTGTCTCTGCATTCCTTCCTCCACAGGGGAGGACTCCTTACACTCTGCTCTTGCTCCAGGATGGGGTACCTCCCACAGGAGACAGTTCTTCATGAACTTCTCCAACGTGAGTCCTTCCCACAGGCTGCAGGTCTTCATGAATGCCCCAGCTGCCTTCCATGGATGCAGTCCTTCAGGAACAGACTGCTCCACTGTAGGCCCCTCCCATGGGGTACAGGTGGAAATCTGCTCCAGTGCCTGGAGCATCTCCTCTGCCCCTTCTTCACTGACCTTGGTTTCTGCAGAGCTGTTTCTCTCACATATTCTCACTCCTTGCTCTGGCTGCAGTTGTGCCGTTTTCTTTCCCCCCCTCTCCTAAATTATTTATCACAGAGGTGCTATCACCATCACTGATGGGCTCGGCCTTGGCCAGCAGCAGGTCCATCTTGGAACCAGCTAGCATTTGCTCCATCAGACACAAAGAAAGCTTCTAGCAGCTTCTCACAGGAGCCGCCCACTACCAAAACCTTGCCATGCAAACCCAATACACAAGCCTCAGTTAACAGCCAGATACAAAAGGTGGAGTAATTTATGCTCCCTTGAAAGTTTATTCTTTATCTAACCCACTGCACTAAAAGGCAGGGAATAATAATTTGCATCATTAATATACTATCTTTTATTGACACATATAGTCCCCCAGTTATGAATTAACGCATACACTCGACTTACAGCTCATACTTCTTTTATTGACACATATAGACCCCAGTTATGAATTAACACATACACTTGACTTACAGCTCATACTTCCCCATGCTATCCATACTGTGGATAGGAAACAGCAGGATACTTGGAAAGGAAACAGCACTGAAAAACCACGAAGAAAAAGTGAGTAAGAGATTATCACCTGATATCTTCTGAGAGGAGGGAACAGTCACTGACTTCATAGCTGTACACAACAGAGCCACGGAACTCTAGGAATGGCAGCCCATCTTCCAAAACACTCCTCTGAAAAGCAGACTTCTGTTGAACAACATTTGGAAGAGGCTCAGTTACTGGCCACACTGAAGCATCAGCATTGCAAATGCTGCATCCTGTGTCCCAACAATGCTGGTATCAGTGGTTCCCAAAACCTTGGAGCAGAACTGTGCTCCACACACAGGGGCAGCAGCACTGTCAATTGACAAATGTTTATAAAAACATTTGGGTCCATGCCCCAATTTCTTTGCTTAGCTCCAAGCACCGAGACTGAAATCCTGCAGGCTGAGTTTTTACCTCAATTACTTTTGTTGTATTCTTCCCACAAAAGAGATTTGGTAGCTTTCCAAGAACAATGTTAGGGAAAAGAAGCATTTTAGATAGTGTCAAAAGAAACCTTAACACTATTTCAAATGCTGTAGTGCTTGCACACCCCTCATTTGAAGAAAAATATTGAAAATGGGCAATAACTTATATAATTTTTAAAGTCATTCAAATCTGGTCGGGCTAAAATCCTCCCCACATCTCCATTTCAGTACACCTGTATAAAATAGCTCAGTTCCCCCATTTCCTTGGTCCCACATTTCAGCAAGCCCACTTCACTTAACCCTGTCAGATATTGTGTGTGAGGAACTTCACAAAGCTCTACATAAACTCCACAGATTTAAAACTATCTGAAGGACTTAAAAGGACCAGTGTCCTCCATCGGCTGATGACTACTGGCTTACAAACTAAAGCTTTAAGCACACAAGTAAGGTGAAATGTAACACTCCAGTTAGTTCGCATTTTTCCCCCCTTTCAGAAGGGTATTTACTAAAAGTTAGACTGGTAAAACTTACTTGAACTGCAGAACTTCTTTCTGATGGTTTACCTGCCTGAAAAAACTTAAGGTTGGTTCAAAATACACAGTAAATTACAATGCCAGTAATACCAAATGTGGGTAAGTATGCCATATTAACACTTAAAAACCAACATGTTGTCAATCTAAAGGGGCCACAATAGACAAAAGAGGTTCTAATACGGTTTCTGAAAGAAGTTGCTTGGAAGCGGGAGATTCTGGAACAAAAGCAGTGCTGATTTTACTCTTGCACAATAACACATTCCCTCCAGTTAATAAGCGGTCAAAGTTTAATCAAAACCCTTCCTCAAATTGCTGGTTGAGGCAGGGTGCCATGGTACACTGCTGTACCACAGCACACAGAAGTCATCCTGGTTAACTGACATGGCAATATCCACACTACTAATTTTTAACTGCTGCTCTATACAGCTGAGTCAGTTTTCTACTTGTTAGAGCAGTTTCAGATGTTACAGATGAAGGGTGTCGCTTCTGCTGTGAAGTTTTATACCAAAACTGCTCTTATATGCAGGAAAAAATGCATCCAATGACATGTTAACATTCTTGGAACACCAGAATTTGGCATAATCTTTATGATCAGTTAATTCTTCTGACACCTCTGAGCTGCAGAGCCTTCCAAAACACTGCACACGTGCAAGCGCAGAAAGCCAGAGGGCCTTTCCAGAACAAATCTGCCTGCCAGGCTGCAACTTGAGGTTGCTACATTTTGAGCTCTCTGATTATGTAGATAACCTCCCCCCCGCTCCAGTCCTTCCAGGTGTACAGCCCACCACACTGCGTGAGCAACACATGAAAAGCTCCATTATACTTGGGAGGTTTTGACACTGAAATTCAAGTTTGTCAGGAATAAATTTCTACAGAGCTAAGAGCAACAGCCTTCAGTCAATACATGATATTTTAATTAGAAAAAAAGACTTTAGTGAGGTCATTCAACCAGTAACTGAGGAGCTAATTATAATTATAATTCATAGAACAAAACAGCTGTAACCATTCAGAAATGGCAGAGGCACAGGTATAACTACATGCCTGTGCTCCAATGTAGTTTTATTACAGTGTGCATCAATAAAGTTTGCCCTGTGTTAAGTCAATAAAGTAATAAACCAAGTTTCCCCCATGCGATGACATACCTTTTTATCACCCAAAACTTCCTCCTGACTTTGGGTAAGCATCCACTGAGGATATTTGTTCTGCAGGCTAGTAGTTGGCAAACCCATTTTATTCATTTTTTTCCACATTCATGTTACTTCAACATAAAAATAAGAACAAAAAAGAATGGTCAGTTTGTACAGAGACAAGCTGTTATTATCATCAGGCCAGAACAAGGTGATGGAAGTTCACTACCTTGAACTTATAAGGGTTTGTGCACAAGAACAGACATTTACAGAGCTGCTCACATTGAACATCAAAGGACTTTTAGGCATTATATTCTTGTTCACATGTCAGTAAGAAAATAAGGTAAAAAAACCCACAAAATACAGGAAAAACCTCTTAAAGTCCTATGGGAAAATGAATTGAGTCTGTTTCTGTGAAGAGCAGCGACTTGGAACAGAACAGTATACCTACTGCCATCTCTGGTCAACACAGCCCTCACTACCTAGGCAAACTGATGCGGTGGTTTAGGTAACAGCACAGGAACCAGCCATCTAAAACCCCCAACCCAAACCAGGCACTATCAGACTCACAAGCATCACCGCAAGACATCCACTGCCTACACAGGACCTCAGAGCTGCAAACCCTCAACCAAGGTAAGGAAAACCATGCAGAATTTCTAGGGAAAACTACAACCAAATAAGGCCCATGCTGCTAAGCTCTTTGGCATAGACTGGATGATGGCTGAGGTTGCTTAGGAATTTGCCAGCCCTTGATTCAAACCAAGCAGAGCTGAGCAGAGACAGCTTATTCCCATGGCATCAGCGAGCAGGGTACATTCCCTAGAAAGGGAAGGCGCTCCATACAGATGCTGTAAGTTTAAAGAAAGAGATTTAAGTTAGGAAGATAGGCTGTTAGTAACACCAGGAGATTTTCAGCCTTGATGACTAGGGCTTACTTTCAGGGAAGTGGAGCAGAATTTCCAAGTTGTGAGCAAACAATGACCAGATTAGAGCTGTTCCAGCTTCTCCCCAGAGTACTTCTAGCACAACTTAGAAATCCCACTGGAGATTCAAACAGGTCACAAAGAAATTTCTCATCCTGCTTCCTCCCACTAGTCCCCAGGTGCTCAACACACCTCAACAAAAAATTCAGGGTACATACATATATACTATGTATGTATGTTCTTAGCAGTATATTTTTACTGTATGCAAGAACATACATACTTTCCAGTTGCACTTCCTCACCAAGAAGCAGGGTCCAAATCATAGGCAAACCATGCTGTTTCAGTTCTTCAGTTCCCAAACTACTTTTTGATGTTTTCATTGATTATCTACAGTAGGCAGAAGGCTTCCTTTGGTTATCTGTCCACTTGTGCAGTAGCATAATGAACTATTACCTCAAAAACCACATTAAAAAAGCATTTTAATACTAAAAACAGTCACAAAAGAGCCACTAGAAAGATGCCTGAAGTAGGAACGCTGTTCTTGGGAGCTGCGATTACCGTAAATTACACAAACCAGCAGAGAAACTACAAAAGGTGGGACATGGCTTGAAGCAAACTGGTCTAGTGGAAGGTGTCCCTGCCCACAGCAGAGTGTTGAAGTGGGTGATCTTAAGGTTCTTCCCATCCAGACCACTCTAGGATTCTACAAACAGGACAGGACATCCTACAGCACACACCCCACCATGTTTGTCACAAAACCAGCTAAATGCCCCAGGGCGCCTTCAGCAGCAATGCCTCTCACCATGGCATCACCCACCTCACCGGTGTTACACCAATAACTTCCACTTACAAGTATAAGACCTGCCCTGAGCTGACACCAGGATCCCCCAGGACAGCAGGCAGCACAGATGGAGCCACAGGAAAGCCTTCACACAGGGTCAAAACACCTACTTTCCTCATGGGAATTTCTTCTGCACCCCACTGCCCGTCACCTAGAATCAAAGAATCAACTAGGTTGGAAAGACCTTTAAAATGATCAAGTTAATCATTATCCCAGCACTACCAAGGCCACCACTAAACCATGTCACTGAGGGCCTTATCTACACGGTTTGTAAACACTTCCAGGGACGGCCACTCCACCATTCCCTGGGAAACCTATTCCAGTACCCGATTACCCTCTTGGTGAAGAAATTGTTCCTAATCTCCAATCTAAACCTCCCCTGGCGCAGCTTGAGGCCATTTCCCCTTATCCTGTCACTTGTTATTTGGGAGACCGACCCCACCTCATGACAACCTCCTTTCAGGTAGTTGTAGAGAGCGATAAGGTCTCCCCTGAGCCTTCTCTTCTCCAGACTAACACCCCTCCACCCCAATTCCCTCAGCCGTTCCATATCAGACTTGTGCTCCAGACCCTTCACCAGCTCCACTGCCCTTCTCTGGACCCGCTCCAGCACCTCAATGTCTTTGGGCGCACACCCAGGGAACCCTCTCAGGGGGCGGCTTGTACCCTTGGGGGACTCCCCGCC